TAGTGAATGCTGGACAATCTCCTAATGGATGAAGACGAGACTTGAAGCAACAGAAATGTGGTTCTACAGAAGGATGCTAAGAATACTATGGACCGAATATGTGAGCAACGACGAAGCTTTGGAGAAAATGGAAACAAAAACGACATTTATACTTAAAATCAGGAAGAGACAGTTGACATTTCTGGGGCACATAATGAGGAAAGATGGCTTAGAAAATTTGATACTCACAGGCAAGAGGGACAGAGGAAAGCAACGTAAAAAAACTTAGTGAGCATGTGTAAATGGAACAGGATTTAGGTAAAATTTATTTAGAGATACAGGATATTGTGGAGAGCCCTGAACACCGACGTTCTGGTGTCGCACAGTACATAGTAAAAGAAGAATATAAAGAAACTCTTTTATTAGAGCTTCTCTGAATTACAAGAGTGAATAAAATGTTTAAATTCATTTCTTCAGTGAAGAGATAGCAGCGTAGAGTAATGAGTAAATGCCAAAGCGTCTTTTAGAGCATAGAAAATACCACCTGATATAAACATTTATCTTCTTTTTCGCTTCTTGTAATAAGGGAAAATATGTTGGCCAAAGTTCAGATGATTCGCTTCAAGGACGCATGACTTTTTAACAAGGACTTATGACGTCAATCCCAACATATTACAAACAAGTGAAATATAATAATATTATTTTCATTAATGCTCTGCCTGCCACTAACCGCATTGATAACAATCAGTAGCTACTTGACTCAAACAATTCAGTTAACAGTGTTGTATTTTCAAGGAATTCTTAAGTTAATGTCTCAAGTCCGGGTAGATCGATATTTAGTTGTATCTGCTTTTGCTAACAAATTCCTTACCAATGTACTATCTAAACCTTGTCGTGTATATTTTGTATCATATACTAATATTCGAAAAGTAGTAACAGCGCTATCCCATAATAGTTACGATATCTGCATACACAATTCAAATGCATGTCTCAAATATGCATATTTCATACAGTATATATAACAATTATTATAGAATTATTCCTTCTTCTTTTATATACGGTATCTATTCAGGACGTGGGCGATCATGACTCACCACAACATCCTATTATTCGTAGCTCTTACTATTCCTCCCACTCCTTGTGATATACAGGAATAAGGTATCATTATCGATACTTGTTTGAACATAGATCGCCAGTGAGCAAACACAGGCGATCCTTTTACTGAATTAAGTACATCACGTGACCATAGAGGAGTGTCGAAACAGTTTTTTTTTTCATTGACACCACTATTATCTTAAATACCTTCAATTCTCGCCATGTTTATGTCATGGTCCGGTTCCTTGCACCACGGTGATAGTCCAAGGTAGAACCAATAAAGACCTCGAAAGCGGATATGGAATAACACAGATATATTACAAACAGAAAGATATACAGAGAGTTAGAAAAGTGTTAGTACGAACAATCAGGTTTAGTAGTACTTTGTCTGAAACGCGACTCTGTTTCGGACTGCCTCTGACTCGACTGACTGACTCGCTCGCTCTGACTGACTGACAGAATCCTTACGGACTTCACTCCAGACTTCAGACGGAACGGTATTTAGTCACCGCCCCCACGAGGGCATCATGTGACACAAGGCCCGTTTAACGTGGGATCTCCGAGCCCGTGGGCTCGGCCAAAAATATGCCCTTTGAACCCGTATAAACGGATTCAGCGTCGGTTCACCTCCTCGAAAGAGACTCTGCCCTTCGGCGTAGCCTCGTTCGAGTTCCTCCTCGCCCAAGGCAGATAGTTCAACCGATCAGCCGGTCAGCCGGTCGCCCGACTTCGGACTGAACTCTCTGCTTCCTCTTGAGACGTAGTCTTTATTACGTATGGAATTGTCCATTATGTTATTATGGGTAAGGCCCCATAACAGTTTATTATTTTAAAAAGCGATGATTAGAATTGTAATAAAATCTAAATATATAAAAGTGAATTTATACATTTTCGATGTTCTTGAGGATTGACAACAAAAATAATAAACACTATTTATTTATCAAATTGTTTATTTGCACTATTTATTATATTATTTTATTACAATTCTACTCGACTCCTTTTTAAACAAAAAACATTGCCGAGGAGTGAAGGCAGTTAAAATAATAGCGGTGTCAATGGAAAAAGCGTCCTTTCGATTTTCCGTTTTTTTTCGTCACGATAATCCGAGTTTGCTTTGTTTTCATACAATATATAATTAGTCATTTCTTTCCGCTTTTCTTGACTACCTTGTGTAAGAGTTTCTATAGTTTGCCTTATATGTCTACCATCAACACGGTAAAAGTAGTAAAGCTTATTTATGAAGATAAGTTTTTGTGTTTTTAATGGAGAGATTGCATTTAAATTTCTTGACAACAAAGCGTGAGAAATAATATGCTGTATGTATATTTAATAAGAGAAAAATAATATTAAGGAACAATTAACTTTCAGCAGCAAGACCGTGAGATTACAGGTTTTGAGGAACGTGGTCCCGCCTCTTAATTGCTTTAATTTATTTATTATTACCATTTCTCTCTTTTCCTCTTTTGCCTCTTTTCTTTCAATTGTAGCTATTTTAACTTCTGGTGTTTGAGGCCATATTAAGAATGTTACGAGCAGAATATGTGAAAACATTTCACTCTGGATGTAAAGAATTTCATTGGACAAGTTTGACGAAACCTGTAATGCTTTTAGATAAAAAGTTACCAAATGGCTTGGGAAAGTCCTAGCGTTGATGTGGACAATAAGATCTTTTAATATGACACATACACATTTATGTATTTTATTTGAGGCCATATTAAGATTGCATTTCAAAGCATAAAGAATTTAATTAGAGGTGAGACAGGTTGAATCTTTATAAAAGTTAAATATTGAATATCACATTGTACTTTGCTCACATATTTTTGTAATCTCGTAAATAAACATTGCCGAGGGAGTTAAAAGTGTATACAGTAATAGCGTTATCTATATTTCTGAAATCAGGTACTGTAACAGAGGGAACATAACTTTGGGAGTTGAGTTACTAAAGATAATTAATTGAAACTGAGATATCCAGAACAGGCTTGGCATGTGGAACTAGAACAATTTACCCTAGTGGACTAAATAAAGGGTTCGGTTCGAAACTCCAACGTACGTCTCGGCCTGAAGATGGCAATAAATTTAAGGACAACATTTAGCGGTGTCAAGAGAATAAATGTCATTTTGACACACCGTTTTTTTTTTTTTTTTTTTTTTTTTGGCATGCATGAAGATTAAATATTGTCAAATTTTCTTTATCTTCCATTTTGCTTTTATTTTCCTTCGTGTTTAAAAAAAATAGTTATTTCGTTCGCCCCCTATAAAAAAAAATAGTTATTTCATTCGCCCCTATAAAAAAAAATAGTCATTTCATTCGCCTCCTATATAGACAGTTAAATAAAAAAAAAATGACGTTTTTTGGATAATATCAAATTTTTGTAGAATATTCATAGATTCATAGGATTAGAAAAATAAATAACATTGTCTTGACAAAACTTGTTATAATGGAATAAAGAGTTGCTGCCGACATTTGCGCTTGAACATAGATCGCCAGTGAGCAAACGCAGGCGATCCCATTACTGAATTAAATAAATCACCTGACCATAAAGGAAATATTCTAAGTAGGACGTCTAAACGATCGTCATTCCTAGTCTATCCTCTATTACTATTCTGATCTCCATTTCTACTCTATCACTATACGGACCGCTATTCTCTACTCTATTTACTATACTATTCCTCTATTCGGATCACTATACGGGTTACTATTCGAGCTAGTATTATCGAGCAAGTACTATTAGTGCGAGTGCTATTCGAAAGCGTCTGACACCAGTATTGTTCAACGGCGTTACTATGGTTGTATCTGCGATTACAAAGTCTCTACTACAACGAGTATTGCGAAAGTGACAATATAATACTACCAACCAACTCAATACGATCCGTAACTGTAAAGAAATTATCTAAACTGAATATATAATTCGTTACTACTACTTCAAATACAATAAGAGATTGAATTAACAGAAAACAAAGTTAAAACTTGATTCAGGAATTTGCAGTTTAGACCAGTGGTTCCAAAACTTTTTCCTTTAGGCCACATTTTCGGAATTCAAATTTACTCGCGCAACACTAAATGGAAGTTCCGGTGAAAAGGCGCAAGCAGCTCTACGTCATAGAAGATTCAGATAGAGAGAGGGGGAGTAAAAGGGAGATAACCGCGGATTCGAAGTCAGAACATTATCATTGATAACGCTCTCCTCTAATTTATAGACCCTAGTTACTATATTCTTAATACTTGATATAATGCAAAAATATCACAATGATAAAATAGGTGAATAATTATAACTATTTATACAGGGACTCATGCATGTAATTACAAGTAATCCATAATAATATTTTAAATTTTGAAATCATATTTATTTTTGGCATATGAATTTTTTGAAACTGTTTCTAAATCTTTGATTGTCTTTCAAACATTCCGCCTCACCTGCTATCCTCTTCCGCCGCACCTATGAGGCGCGTCGCACAGTTTGGTAACCATTGGTCTAGACTATAAAATGTCACTACATAAAATGTTCATCTTCAGCATCATTGAAACAACACAGTTCTGAGTTCAATATTTCTGACATTTTCCAAATCTTTCCACGTGAGCATGTAATTAGGTTGACAAGTACGTCGGTGGCGAATTGACTGTTTGAAAGAAGTAGGTAAACTTCCAATCCTCTTCAATAATTCCGTCTACACTCGTCTCTACTCCAAAAGCCAAGTATTCAAATGTCATCGTTATATTTGACGCCAACCTCTTTAAATTAAGCCGAAGTTTTGTGGCCGACCAAGACAATAAATATTCGTTACTGTTGAATGACCGTAATTATTGACCAGAATAAACAACGTAAATGTTGCCCAGGATAAACAATATGGTTAGTATTTTTATGGTCAAAGAAAGATAAAATACTTACATGGGGAGCCGAAAAGTTTTTGGCACAACCAAGAAAGGCTTACGGCCACATGATGTTGAAACACCGGTTCACGTAAGATCACCGAAATTAAGCAACCTCGAGCCTGGTCAGTACCTAGATGAGTGACCTCTTAGGAATACTAGATGCTAAGCTTAGATGTATGGGTGGTGTAACGGATAATGACTCAGAATTGTTAATTGGAGAGCAGGGTTCCAATCTCAACCGGGTTTGTTATATTCACTTACGCACAAAAACTCTTGGGGAAGCTATGAATCTACCTATTCTCCTCCCACCTATGGGTTAATTAGTAAGACTTGTATCCCTAAAACTTTATTATCCCCAAAAATAAAATAAAATTATGTACAATAAATAGATTCCGGCATTAAATAACCCATAGAGATGTTGTTATGCCGTTAAACAAAAACAACTAAGAAAGGATTTTTTTTTATTCTGATGATTGTTCATTGGGTCAAATTTAAGATAAATATTTAGCACCCCTTCGTATATTCTTACCTGGTTTTATTGCCTGTATAAATATGTCTGAAGTTTTATATTCACAGCCATAATAATGATGATGTAATTTAGACAGACTTATCGCAATAAGCATGAAATCCACTTAATTTGAAAATAAATCCAACATGCGTATTCATGTACTAGCTTCCAAATACTATAAAAATGATTTCATATTTTCAAAACACCTTAGTATTATTGGAAGCCTTTTACATGTTAGCTTGCTGTTATATAAACATACTAGTTTACCCATGTTGTCTAAACGGTAGTATATTTTGTTAGGTCCTTACTATTATGAGAACGTTTCCGCATGTGTCTCTTTAAAAATGTGAATATATTTATTTATCAAAGTCATCAAAATAGCGGCATATAAGTCCTTAATATTTTAAGGTTTTCTCATGTGAATCTTTAAATATATAAATATACATGTTACCCATTGCCATAAAAACGATGACAAATTTTGTTAAGTCCTTACTCTTATTTTAAGGTTTTCGCATATGAGTATTTAAATATATAAATATACTAGTTTACCCATGTCGTGAAAATGACGATATATTTTTTAATTTCCTACTATTATTATAAGAAGGTCTTCCAATATTTTAGATATACTAGTTTAACCATACCATGAAAATGTGGTGGCATGTTTTAAGTCCTTAATATTTGTATTTACTCAAGAAAACGAGGTCATTTGTGACACTAGGTCGTTTTAATGTGGGGAGCCCGAGCACGTACACCCGGGCTAGGAACAAAAATTTCCGAACCCCATCAATCGTCGGTTCCGCTGGCTTCGGTGCGAACACCTATCCATCACTCTAGTGCAATGAGAGGGCGCGACCTCAGACAGCTGTTCCCCAGGGCTGGCACATCAATTGCGACTCTGTCCTTGGACAAAGACGTAACTGAGAGATGATAAATAATGTGTTACAAGCTACTCGACAGATTAATTTACACACTAGGTTCTTAGCATTATTTAAATTCTTAGTATTATTATTTCATCATCATCATCTTGCGGCCTCAGCCGAGATTGAACTCACTAATACTTTGATTGGTGTAGTTCATAATCTTGTCAAATAGCTGAATTCTTGATGCTTCGCTAGGGCTATCATGGGTGTTTTTTATCCATCACTAAATGGATTTCCAACCAAGGCACAGAGAAACTCCATTCAACCTCATCTAAGTGCAGGTTTGAATTCAGAGTTTTCCTTCTCCTAGACCAGTTGCCATCCAAGGCTATAGAACCCAGTCTGTCCTGCTATTTACCCATAGCTGGAGGTAGAAGAAAGAGGATTCACACCTTTCCCAAGGGTGTTAGCACGTAAGTGAATGTAATGGATTCGACTGGAATTCCTTAATCCAAGCCGCGATCCATTAATCCATCGTGCCTTATTATTTAAGTTCTTAGTATTATTAGGTTTTCACGGGTGCATCTTTATATATGTAAATATACTAGATTATCGGTGCAATAAAAAAAATGTCATGTTTTGTGGCATGCTTACTATTATTAGAAGGTTTTCACACGTGACTCTTTAAATATAGAAATGTATTTATTTCGTAAAAATGCAAAAATTGTGGCACAAGGCCGAAGGGGAAATTGGGAGAGGCTGGTTTTAATTAGCTATCCTAGTCCTAATTAATCAGAATCACGACCCATTCATTCGTTACAATTTGCCCATTCACCACAAGAACTCATCCATCACCACACAATCCTGCATATACCATAATACCGCAGGGGATCTACAGAAAATCAAATGATGTAAAAATGTCATTTCATTGTCCATAAAGTTCGTTTATATGAATATTTCATGATTTAATAAATGATGGGGGTAAGAGGATGAAACCAGAAAACAAACTAAAAATGAAACTGTTATGATGTTAATTTGGGGTTAATAAAGACAAACGCCAAATAACATGTAACAATAAAATGGGGTTTATTCGGTTGGTAAGTTGGTACAGATATCGCCTGAGTAGTCTCTAACTAACTCAGCAAAAGAACTTCTACTACTACTGTCTTTTTACATGCCACTCGTTAACGTCCTTGTTCGTAGACGAGTTCATCTTTTAGAGGGGTGGTAGGTTCCTACACAACAGAAACACAAAGATAAAACTAAAACAAAACAATGTTAATAGGACGCGTCCATCAGTCAAAATAATAAGAATGGCCACTGTATTCTGTCGATAAATACAATCAAGAAGCACATTCACTAATGGAATGAGAAGGGTTAAAAATAAATGGTGGAAAGAGGAGAATCAAAGGCTGACCCAGTCAGGATGAAAAATGTGGGACAAAAACAAACAAGAGGAGGTTAGGAATCTCGACATGGGTCAAAAAGAGAATGCCAGGAACAGGCTGGAAACAACACTTATTGTTTAAATATAGAAATATACACGTTTACATATGCTAGACAAATGCATCAGATCATGAAAAATACCCAATTACAAAGAAAGTCTTTAGAAATTCATTTATTTGTTTCCGATACGGAAGAGAATAGATATGAGCTTTTGAGAAAAACTGAAAGATAGCATGTGCATTCCTTAAAACGGTGAATAGAACTTGGCCGGGCTTTGATGACCTTTGTAGCCGAGCCGTCAAATGCACACCGGATCAAACGGTGATTTCTCCTACAAAGGGAGAGAAAAACTGAAAGATAGCATGTGCATTCCTTAAAACGGTGAATAGAACTTGGCCGGGCTTTGATGACCTTTGTAGCCGAGCCATCAAAACACACCGGATCAAACGGTGATTTCTCCTACAAAGGGAGAGAAAAACTGAAAGATAGCATGTGCATTCCTTAAAACGGTGAATAGAACTTGGCTGGGCTTTGATGAACTTTGTGGCCGAGCCATCAAAACACACCGGATCAAACGGTGATTTCTCCTACAAAGGGAGAGAAAAACTGAAAGATAGCATGTGCATTCCTTAAAACGGTGAATAGAACTTGGCCGGGCTTTGATGAACTTTATGGCCGAGCTGTCAAAACACACCGGATCAAACGGTGATTTCTCCTACAAAGGAGAGAAAAACTGAAAGATAGCATGTGCATTCCTTAAAACGGTGAATAGAACTTGGCCGGGCTGTGATGAACTTTGTGGCCGAGCTGTCAAATGCACACCGGATCAAACGGTGATTTCTCCTACAAAGGGAGAGAAAAACTGAAAGATAGCATGTGCATTCCTTAAAACGGTGAATAGAACTTGGCCGGGCTCTGATGAACTTTGTGGCCGAACTGTCAAATGCACACCGGATCCAACGGTGATTTCTCATACAAAGGGAGAGAAAACTGAAAGATAGCATGTGCATTCCTTAAAACGGTGAATAGAACTTGGCCGGGCTGTGATGAACTTTGTGGCCGAGCTGTCAAATGCACACCGGATCAAACGGTGATTTCTCCTACAAAGGGAGAGAAAAACTGAAAGATAGCATGTGCATTCCTTAAAACGGTGAATAGAACTTGGCTGGGCTTTGATGAACTTTGTGGCCGAGCCATCAAAACACACCGGATCAAACGGTGATTTCTCCTACAAAGGGAGAGAAAAACTGAAAGATAGCATGTGCATTCCTTAAAACGGTGAATAGAACTTGGCCGGGCTTTGATGAACTTTATGGCCGAGCTGTCAAATGCACACCGGATCAAACGGTGATTTCTCCTACAAAGGGAAAGATAGAAAAACGGTGAATAAAGATAGCATTTCTCATACAAAGGAGAGAAAACTGAAAGATAGCATGTGCATTCCTTAAAACGGTGAATAGAAATGAACTTTTGGCCGAGCTGTCAAACACACCGGCAAACGGTGATTTCTCCTACAAAGGGAGAGAAAAACTGAAAGATGATGAACGGTGAATAGAACTTGGCCGGGCTTTGATGTGGCCGAACCATCAAATGCACACCAGATCAAACGGTGATTTCTCCTACAAAGGAGAGAAAACTGAAAGATAGCATGTGCATTCCTTAAAACGGTGAATAGAACTTGGCCGGGCTTTGATGACGTTTGTGGCCGAGCCATCAAAAAACACCGGATCAAACGGTGATTTCTCCTACAAAGGGAGAAAAAACTGAAAGATAGCATGTGCATTCCTTAAAACGGTGAATAGAAGAACTTTGTGGCCGAGCCATCAAAACACACCGGATCAAACGGTGATTTCTCCTACAAAGGAGAGAAAAACTGAAAGATAGCATGATTCCTTTGAATAGAACTTGGCGGGCTTTGATGACCCCGAGCCATCAAAACACACCGGATCAAACGGTGATTTCTCCTACAAAGGGAGAAAAAACTGAAAGATAGCATGTGCATTCCTTAAAAAACAGAACCTGAAAAACTGAAAGATAGCATGTGCATTCCTTAAAACAGTGAATAGAAACTTTGATGAACGAGCCAGCCATCAAAACACACCGGATCAAACGGTGATTTCTCCTACAAAGGAGAGAAAAACTGAAAGATAGCATGCATTCCTTAAAAAGGTGAAAAACTGAAAGATAGCATGTGCATTGCCTTAAAACGGTGAATAGAACTTGGCCGGGCTTTGATGAACTTTGTGGCCGAGCCATCAAAACACACCGGATCAAACGGTGATTTCTCCTACAAAGGGAGAGAAAAACTGAAAGATAGCATGTGCATTCCTTAAAAAGGTGAACAGAACC